GGTACCTAACAACCTGTCGGTATTTTATACCATTTTAATGTTCAATCTGTCAGACACTGCAACACAAGGGTATCTTGGTACAGACCTGCAATCAACTTCGACAACTTCCACTAGTGAGAGGGGCTGGATTTGAGAGGGACCTGACTTCTCAACATCTGAGTTCTTACCTCTCCTAGTGGCCTACGTCTCACCTCTTGGCGCTATAAAAAGCTCCATCCTGTCACTTCTTCTCCATATTGTTTCATATTATGGAACAATGCTCTTCTCCAGACTGAGGGACTGACCACCTCAAAACTTTAAGGGTGATGGACTGATTACATCGTCTTCAAGTATCTTCTGCTTCTATCAACTTTTCTGTACTTGACTGAAGAAGCCTACTGTGTAGGCGAAACGTTTCATAATAAAGATACCTAACTGTTGCATATGTGTCTTACCTAACAGCTGCGAGAGGCAGGAGCGACCTGCCCTGAGCCCATGTTGCCCTGGATTGTGCATTTTTTGGGAATCCAGGTGGTTTGCAATCATGCTTCTTAGCACTCTTTCAAAGATTTTTATAATGTGGGACGTTAGAGCTATTGGTCAATAGTTCTTAGCTAATGGCTTAAGTTGTAGCGTCTCCAGCTCACATATGTAGACCCTACCTTGAGTCTACTTGGATGGTGTTCCGGGGATCAACGCCCCCACGGCCCGGTCCATGACCAGGCCTCCCGGTAGATCAGGGCCTGATCAACCAGGCTGTTATTGCTGGTCGCACGTAGTCCAACGTACGAACCACAGCCCGGATGATCGGGCACCGACTGGTTGATATCAGCACAAGTGGAAATGTCTCTTTAAACTACCATTGCCACTGCACCTAGCAGTACCTTCGTGTTAGCTGACTGTTGTAGGTCCCATTTTGAGGAAGATGATCAAAGGACCTCAATGGAAATAAGCCATAGTGGCTTTACTGGGTTATCCTGGGTTACTAATTATCCGGGTTAATAATTCGAATAAAATGTCTTGAGATACAACGCTAGTTTTCTGTTGTGGATCTTAGCCGTTGTCTTAATTTACGTTTTTGTTTTTAGGTTAGATTAACGTAAATTAACCAGAATTCCTAAATTCGATCAGCGTAACCATCAGGATGGGCTAGGGTAACAGGTGATGTCCCACAAGGATTGGTACTGTGGCTACTACTGTACTATCCCTAATAACGCAAATAAACTCCCAGAAAGGGTCTAATCCCATGTGTGTATGCTGATATAAAAAAAAACAGAGAAAGAGCTGTGGACTGGCTGCAAGCTTGATCCAGTAAGTGGCTGCTGGAGTTCAATCTGAAGTTCCGAACAAATATAATGCAAAGATTCAAAACCAGAAGAAAATACAGCATTAAATGAGAAACGCTGCAAATATCAGTGGAAGAAAAAGATCTGGAGGTTAACCCCTCAAGAGAAGTGCTGATGTCGACGAGAGGTTCTTGATCCAGGAAAATGGGCATATCCACCCTCTTCCTTGGATCGATCCTGATTGCCTTCCATTTCCAAGGCACTGTATGATATCTACGAGTGTAGCGTTTCTAGTAAATAATAATAACTGGTGCTGGTGGAGGGCTTTTGATTCAAGTAACTGAAACTACCCCGCCTTTGGATCAAATCTGATTATATCTCATTCCGAAGGCGCTGTATGATCCTTACAGGTTTAGTGTTTTCTCTCGGCAATGATAATTTATATAACTAGTGTTCTAGTGCTATCTGGCCCTCTCTGGTTGAGCACTTAACTTGATTGTTATTATTCTAGTACTGTGTATATAATTTTAGCGCTTAGGTTTGATTGTAATATAAGTGTGTATATCATACAAATTAATCAGTCACACCAAAAGTTTGCAAACAGCCTAGTCATAAAGTTGCTAAGAACGTTCCTCGAGGAACGGGTGAGGCGGGTCATTACGACCTTGGAGGTAACTGCACGACTGTGCAACACAAGATAATGGCGTAAAAAAAGAAATGACAAAATACAAATGGATGGACTGTTTGAAATTTGTGGCCCTGAGTTAAGGGGCGGCAGGTTTCACGTAGACACAGATGACCCATTGTATATTCGCAAGAAAAAACACAAAGTATGAGCCCCAGGAATGCAAGTCTGAAGTACATATCTTCATTCAGTGTGGCTGCCGATAACAAGTTACTAACTTGTCTGTTGCTCATATACCCAGACTATTCACTTAATACCCTTTAGTTAGTAACTTTAATATGAAGGTTAAATATTTTAACATAAATGCTTACTTACCATGAACTGAATCTTTTTTATTATTACTCTAGTGGTAAATCAGCACTCGTTAACCCATGCATGCTTAGCCCATTTTTGTGAATGCAATGATAATTAGTGATAATTTTTGTCCCCTAAGTTAAGTATATTGAAGAATATACTTAACTACCACTCACAATTTACAGTGCTGAACACTTACAGTAAAATGAAAGGAAGGCAGCAAGGCACTGCAGTCCAAGACATAATAGAAGATTGGTACAACGATAGTACGGGGGTAATTTGCTCAGGAGTCAGAATTTTGTCCAGAGTTTACGAACATATTTTCAAAAGATATTGATAAGAGGGAAAGAGTGATGTAGGAGAGAACAAAATGAGAGCATATAAAAACTTGAAGTATAATATTAACGGTTATAGGTCAACGCTTCATTATGAATATAATAATAATAATAATAATAATAATAATAATAATAGTCTGAGTGGGGATATAAAACCAAATTGTCTCTGTGTAAAGGGTAATCGACAGTTAGAATGCATTAAGAAGAGGTTAGAAGAGGCTAACACTATTCTAGGATACATAAGTAAATATTACAAAGCCATATAAGGCCAGAAGTACCTCACATCAAATAATGTGTGCAAAAGAGGGCTTTACCCCCAGCATCCATCAAGGGAGGCGCCTGGACGCCAGTGACAGGTTCTTGACCCAGGGAAACTGAGCTACCCTCCATTTTTGATCAAACACGATTACTTCCCGTTCCCCGAGCATACAATAATTACTGTGATGCAAGTGTACCTGCTACATGTGGTCCATACACCAAGATCACTTCTTGCCTTTCCTATTCTATTTTGGTTGAGCTGCTTCTTTATAGGAGCAGCCTAATGATTAATTTTAGTACTCACCTGGAGTCTACCTGGAGGGTATTCCGGGGATCAACGCCCCCGCGGCCCGGTCCATGACCAGGCCTCCCAGTGGATCAGCGCCTGATCAACGAGGCTGTTACTGCTGGCCGTACGCAATCCAACGTACGAACCACAGTCCGGCTGATCCGGCACCCATATCCAGATTTACCAGCTGTATTAAATGGTGTTTTCAGTCAGAGGTAAAGAGAGTAGCAAGACCATAAAATAATGTGGGTGAGTATAAAAAGGAAATGCAGATGAACCTAAATTTAGGATAGTGACGGTTAGCAGAATGGAAGCCAGAGACTCATTAGCTGCAGCTACCCAGAGAACTGGAAATATCACTTGTATTCTGATTTCTCTCAGGCCTCCACTTTTCTTAGGCTTGCAACACAACTTTCTTCACTCTCCCATTTTTATTAAAAAAAAAAAAATAACCACTTGTTCCTGCAGCCAACATTTCGTATCACCAGAAAAGATCCCATGTAATCCATTACTAAGTATGCTAGGTATCTTCCTATCTGTCTTGTATACGTTACACAGATTCCCAAGAAACTAACCTGGCATACCACTTTACATAAAAAAAATAACCCTGAATTATTCACCATGACAGGCATTTCACATACAAACGTTTGAGTGAGAGATGTTACGCGGCTCCTTAATAGCAAGGTTCAGTGGTCAAAGATGCACATAATTATCAATGTATAGCACACAATGGTTCTCTTGATTGCTGGGATGCTGGGCAAATCTCACTGGTGAGGTGAGAGCATCACAACATGGGGTGAAGACGTCGCTTGGTCTTGGTGGTGTGGAGATGGAAGATCAAGAACTTTAATATGCCCTCACTTCCTCCTCCACATCCAAGTCCAAGCTTTAAGTGCAGTAACTGCTCGGTTATTAGCATTATGATCCTGAAGATTTCTTTACGATGATACAATTTACCAGCTTAATGCCTACTACAACTCGATTCCTTGCCCACCATCACATATGTATACTTGGTTCCTAAAAACTCCCTACCTCCTCCCTACTCTGCCCAGGAAGAAAAATTCGCGTTCCGCATAACCTTTTCCATAGTTGTTTCACATCTTAACACTTTGGCAATACGTCCCATACCGTACTACTTTTCAAAAAACCAATAACCCTGTTGAAAAGTCATTATTCAATGTCATTCTGCCTCACGGAATTCCATGACCCATGGGTTCTTGTATGGACCCAAAGCATCCTTCAAAACTTCTGAAATATCTGGGAGTGAAACACTTAAGTGATGGCATAAATATGAGCACTTAGGAAAATATTTTTAATTATAGAGCTTTAATTAATCATTCATGAAGAATGCAAAGTAACAGGAGCCAATTTTTATTGAGGTCAACAAGAGTATGTCTCAAATATGAATGGAACGAGGACGTTAAGTTCGTTTAAGAATGTGAGTCACATCACTCTCAGCTAGTTAAAAATGAAGTGACAGGAGACACATTATGAGTGCCTAGTGCGAAAGAGACAAAGACGCGCTATAGTTAAATTTTTTTTCTACTGTTTGACACTGCATTGACAACATTCTCTGGTGGTCGAATTGGGTGATTGTAGAAAGTGGTGTTGAGTAGACGGGTTATGGGAAATAATTATTGTATATGGATGGAAAACACGTGGCAGGTTGCTCGGGCTTGCGTGGCAATCGTGTAAGGTGAGCTGTGCGCGCGTACTGGGCCTCGAAGTGGTGAGGTCCTGCGCTCAGGTATTTTTACATGTTCCGCGAGTACTGTATCCCTGACAGGCACCGCCCCACCGGCCAAATATAGGTTGTGCGCACCGACCACTTGCGCAGCCTTTTCTGCGCAGAGGATATAAAGAAGGAGCACCCTGAAAACCCTGCCAGTGCATCACAGCTAGGGTCGCAATCATGCCTGCCTCAAAGGGATCCCGTTCTTCCTCCAAGAAGGCGAAGAAGGGAGGAAGCAATGTCTTCGATATGTTCACCCAGAAGCAGGTGGCGGAGTTCAAGGAGGGCTTCCAGGTGATGGACCGAGATCGTGACGGCATCATTAGCAAGGATGATCTCCGTGGTGTTTACGACGAAATTGGCCGTATCGTCACTGACAAGGAACTCGATGACATGCTGGCTGATGCTCCTGGCCCAATCAACTTCACCACCCTTCTACACATGTTCGCCTCTCGCTCCTCCGGAGAGTCCGACGACGATGATGTTGTTGCCAAGTCTTTCCGTGCCTTCGAGAAGGAAGCTGGTCAGATCGACTCTGAGCAGTTCCGCGCCATGCTTATGGCTTTCGGTGATAAGTTCACCAACGACGAAGTCGACGAAGCCTTTGAGCAGATGGAAATCGATGAAGACACCGGCATCATTGACTCCAATGCTCTCGTCGCCATGCTGTGCGCCGGTGGTAGTGACAAGGAGGGCGAAGCCTAAACACACACATTCTCATCCTAGTGTCCATGCCCGAAGGAAATGTGGGTGAGCAGTAGCGGAAGCCTATACCTGCAGGGATTGCTACCTGTAGCTGTGACACTCAGGCACTTCATGCTTATCCACTGGCCACTGCTGCTGCTATTTTCCCGCCTCATCATTTATCGCCTTTGTTTCTTCCATACATCACCAACACCCATATTTCTTACGGGCGAAGTCACATGCAGGATAGACACTTGAAGGTGGTCCCTTAGTCCTGCCTCTTCTGTGATCCTGTAATATCTCCATCTACAACAGAGCCTACAAGCGGCGGCTTTCACCAGGCCTCAAGATCGGCATCCGCGAGCCTGCAGTGTCTCTTGCAAAGAAAATGCCAATTCGGGAGCGGGAACAATAAAAGTGATAGTGAATTTGTGAACATTGCCGCCGTGATCTACATCCAGAAGGCCTACCGCTCCCTTGCTAACGTTACATCAGAACAGTGATACAATGAGACATCTGTGACTAAAAGTGAAGAATGAGGCCTTAGTGTGAGACCGTGTGAGGGAGCTCAGTGTCATCTACCTTGCTTCAGCCTGTGTGGTAACGACTTTTACGTGCTGGTGAAGTTACCATCGTATTCCCGACGCAGTAGTTGTCCCTGCAGTTGCTGAAGAGCTGGGTGTACTGCAGCTCTAGCACTTGCAAATGTTTCATTTGTGAAGCATTGTATTGACATCTACAAGATATATTCAATAAAATGTTTTACAATTGATAGTGTATTATTTAAAAATAATATTCCCGCGTGAACACTTGTTCATCTATAAATACAAAAATCGAAAGATTTTTCACTTTTGTTTTTATCTAGGCTTGTTAGACATGTAGTGTATATGCTTTGTAGTCTCTTGGCCTTAAAACTAACAAACTTTGATCATGATTTTGTTCAAGTTTGCTTCCAACTTCGGCTGTCTCAATAAGCAACGAAACATTTTCTGAACTCATTATGATTTTGAGGACTTAGTATTTTTGGTAATTATAATAATTTACGATTTTGACATTTAACAAATTAATCCACACTTAACCATATTGCAAATGAGTCCAAAATTTTCTAAATAAAAAAATTTTTAGTCCAAAATCTTCTGAATTAAAACATCTTTAAGTTTGTTAAAAATTACTCCAATAATATTACACAAATAGCCCGCACATAGGATAGGGAAGCTTACGACGACATTTTCAATAATATTTAGAAAATGGAAGAGGTCACGCTGGACAATCTTGACTTATGTGACTCTTTACTCCGCTGAAGTAACTAAGGAAAAACCTTTTTCCCCACCATTTCGCAATACTTGTCGCTATCCAACACAGCACAACTCTGTCTTATATAACCTTGCCATGCAACACTACTTTCATCCTACCTAGGTTAGCCATACAGCACTTGTTAAAAAATCTACCCCACAACTTTGGTTCCATCTTACAATCCCCCCAAACAACACTGACCTTCATCCTACATAGTCTACCCACAAACACTGGCCTCACCCCTACATAGTCTACCTTAACATGGTCTCCACCTACTAGTCACCATACAACACTTGCCTCCATCCTGCATAGCCTAGCCATGAAACTGGTCCCATCCTACATACCCTAGCCATAAAACCCCGGGCCCTCCTCATACATAACCTACCAAACAACACTGGCCCATCCTACATGTATACCCATACAAAACACTGCCCCCATCCTCATAAAAGCCTACAACATGGCCCCCAATCCTACTAGTCCATGCATTAACACTGGTATACATCCTCATATTTATCCATAAACACTCCCCTCCATCCTGATAGCCTACCAGTAACATGGCCCCCTCCTTCATACCTAGCCAAACAATACTGGTCACCACATACATAACCAGCCATCAACACTTTGCCCCCAACCTAAATAGCCAGCCATAAACAGGCCCCCCATCAACATACCTAGCCATACAACACTGGCCTCCATCCACATAGCCTAGCCATACAACACTGGCTCCACCTAATAGTCCAGCCATTTAACACTGGTATACATCACATAGTCTTCATATAACACTGCCTCCATTCTACAAGCCTAGCCAACAACAATGGCCTCCTTATCCAAAACTTCTAGCCATTAAACACTGGCCTCATCATACATAGCCTACCATACAACACTGGCTCCATCCTACATAGTTCCAGCCAATAACACTGGTATACCTACATAGTCTATCCAAAACTTACTGGCCTTCATTCTACATAGATTTAGCCAAAAAATTGACCTCCGCTACAATGCCTAGACCATACAACACTGGCCTCATCCTACATAGTCCAGCCATGAATAACTAGGAAACATCCTACCATAGTCTATCCACACACATTGGCTCCTACATAACCTAGCCATACAACACTGGCTCCATCCTACATAGCATAGCATACATACATTGACCTCCAGCTACATAGCCTAGCCATACAACACTGCTTTCCATCCTACATAGCTAGCCATACAACACTGGCCTCCATCATGCAGCCTAAGCCATACAACACTAGCCTCATCCTACACCTAGCATACAACACTGGTCCTCCATCTACACAGCCTAGCCATACAACACTGGCTTCCATCCTACATAGCTAGCCCATACAACACTGGTCCTCCATCCTACATAGCCTAGCCTATACAACATGACCTCCAGCCTACATAGCCTAGCCATACAACACTGGCTTCCATCCTACATAGCCTAGCCATACAACACTGGTCTCCATCCTACATAGCCTAGCCATACAACATTGACCTCCAGCCTACATAGCCTAGCCATACAACACTGGCCTCCATGCTACACAGCCAGCCATACAACTCTGGCCTCCATCCTACATAGCCTAGCCATACAACACTGGCCTCCATCCTACATAGCCTAGCCATACAACACTGGCCTCCATGCTAATGCAGCTACCATACAACACTAGCCTCCATCCTACATAGCCTAGCCATACAACACTGGCCTCCATCCTACATAGCCTAGCCATACAACACTGGCCTCCATGCTATGCAGCCTAGCCATACAACACTAGCCTCCATCCTACATAGCCTAGCCATACAACACTGGCCTCCATCCTACATAGCCTTGCCATACAACACTGGCCTCCATCCTACTTAACCTAGCCATACAACACTGGCCTCCATGCTACGCAGCCTAGCCATACAACACTGGCCTAAAACCTACATAGCCTAGCCATACAACACTGGCCCCATCCTACATAGCCTAGCCATACAACACTGGCCTCCATGCTATGCAGCCTAGCCATACAACACTGGCCTCCATCCTACATAGCCTAGCCATACAACACTGGCCCCCATCCTACATAGCCTAGCCATACAACACTAGCCTCCATCCTACATAGCTCTCCATATAACACTGGCTCCATCCTACATAGCACTAGCCATACAACACTGCCTCCATCCTACATAGCCTAGCCATACAACACTGGCCTCCATGCTACGCAGCCTAGCCATACAACACTGGCCTCCATCCTACATAGCCTAGCCATACAACACTGGCCCCATCCTACATAGCCTAGCCATACAACACTGGCCTCCATGCTATGCAGCCTAGCCATACAACACTGGCCTCCATCCTACATAGCCTAGCCATACAACACTGGCCTCCATCCTACATAGCCTAGCCATACAACACTGGCCTCCATCCTACATAGCCTAGCCATACAACACTGGCCTCCATGCTACGCAGCCTAGCCATACAACACTAGCCTCCATCCTACATAGCCTAGCCATACAACACTGGCCTCCATCCTACATAGCCTAGCCATACAACATGGCCTCCAGCCTACATAGCCTAGCCATACAACACTGGCTCCATCTATGCAAGCCTAGCCATACAGCACTGGCCTCCATCCTACATAGCCTAGCCATACAACACTGGCCCCATCCTACATAGCCTAGCCATACAACACTGGCCTCCATCCTACATAGCCTAGCCATACAACATTGACCTCCAGCCTACATAGCCTAGCCATACAACACTGGCTTCCATCCTACATAGCCTAGCCATACAACACTGGTCTCCATCCTACATAGCCTAGCCATACAACATTGACCTCCAGCCTACATAGCCTAGCCATACAACACTGGCCTCCATGCTACACAGCCAGCCCTACAACTCTGGCCTCCATCCTACATAGCCTAGCCATACAACACTGGCCTCCATCCTACATAGCCTAGCCATACAACACTGGCCTCCATCCTACATAGCCTAGCCATACAACACTGGCCTCCATCCTACATAACCTAGCCATACAACACTGGCCTCCATCCTACATAACCTAGCCATACAACACTGGCCTCCATCCTACATAACCTAGCCATACAACACTGGCCTAAAACCTACATAGCCTAGCCATACAACACTGGCCCCATCCTACATAGCCTAGCCATACAACACTGGCCTCCATGCTATGCAGCCTAGCCATACAACACTGGCCTCCATCCTACATAGCCTAGCATACAACACGGGCCCCCATCCTTCATGCCTAGCCATTAAACACTGGCCTCCTCCACAAGCCTAGCACATACAACATGGCCTCCATCCTACATAGCCTAGCCATACAACACTGGCCTCCATGCTACGCAGCCAGCCATACAACTAGCCCCATCCTACATAGCTAACCTACAACTGGCCTATCCTACATAGCCTAGCCATACAACACTGGCCTCCATCCTACATAGCCTAGCCATACAACACTGGCCTCCATGCTATGCAGCCTAGCCATACAACACTGGCCTCCATCCTACATAGCCTAGCCATGCAACACTGGCCCCATCCTACATAGCCTAGCCATACAACACTGGCCTCCCATGCCTACAGCCTAGCCATACAACACTGGCCTCCATCCTACATAGCCTAGCCATACAACACTGGCCCCCATCCTACATAGCCTAGCCATACAACACTGGCCTCACATACATAGCCTAGCCATACAACACTGGCCTCCATCCTACATAGCCTAGCCATACAACACTGGCCTCCATGCTATGCAGCCTAGCCATACAACACTAGCCTCCATCCTACATAGCCTAGCCATACAACACTGGCCTCTATCCTACATAGCCTAGCCATACAACACTGGCCTCCATCCTACATAGCCTAGCCATACAACACTGGCCTCCATGCTACGCAGCCTAGCCATACAGCACTGGCCTCCATCCTACATAGCCTAGCCATACAACACTGGCCCCATCCTACATAGCCTAGCCATACAACACTGGCCTCCATCCTACATAGCCTAGCCATACAACACTGGCCTCCATCCTACATAGCCTAGCCATACAACACTGGCCTCCATGCTACGCAGCCTAGCCATACAACACTAGCCTCCATCCTACATAGCCTAGCCATACAACACTGGCCTCCATCCTACATAGCCTAGCCATACAACACTGGCCCCATCCTACATAGCCTAGCCGTACAACACTGGTCTCCATTCTGCATAGTGTAGCCAAGCAACACTTTCTTCATCCTACATAGCCTAGCCACAGTCTCCTACATAGCTAGCCACAACATTAATTATCTATCCTACAATACCCAGCCACATAAGACTAATTATATATTCTAAATATTGCAGCCACACATATATCCTACATAACACATACAGTAACTATCCGATCTTTGTAGCCTAGTTGAACACCATGAATTATTTTTCTCTTACAGTCTTACTAGCTTACAACACTCGCAAAGGTTTCAGCTTGCGTGAAACCT